CTGCAGGCAAAGCTGGGGGACTTTGGGGCTGCAACTGCCCTCTGTGTTGGGAGCAGTGTCCTGCATCAGGGACCCTGTGAGGATAAAGATCACCACTACTCTAAAGGGTGGTTGTGAAGATTTTTAAAAAAGCATCACCAAAAACACCTCTTTGAAAATAGCAGGGCTGGCCAGTCAGCTCAGTTGGTTGGAGCACGGTGTTGATAACACCAAAGTCAAGGGTTCGGATCCATGCCCCAGCCAGCCACCCCCAAAAAATAGAAAGAAAAAGAAAATTGCAAAGTGCTTTATAGATGGTAGTTAGTGTCTTCTTGTGGGAATAGGAAGCATGAGACTCAGGAGAAATGGGACTTGCTGAAGGTTACCCAGCTGAGCCTGGCTGGGACTAGCATTTTCTCTCCTGAAATCCAAGAAGTGGTTTAGGACTTCATGTCTTTTGGACATTCCTCTGCACTAGGGGAAGTAAGGGGGTGGGTATTTTTATCAGGGTGGTGCCCTTGTCCCCATACAGAGGTACTCCCCTAGCTGGGCTGTCTTCCTTTCTGGCAGCTGCCCAAGTGGGTGTGGGTGGAGAGCAGGAGCTCAGCGATCACCTGTCCCAATCTCCCTACGTGACAGATGGAATGGGTGGACCAGGCTGACCTCTACTGAGCACTCATTTAGGGCCAGGCTCTGTGCTGGCTACTGTACATGTTGTTTCATTAATCCTCAAAATCCCACCAAGAGTGGTGGGATTTTGGAACTTCTTTGTAATTTTCTTCTTGCTTGAATTTTTTAATAGTAAGTTTATTTCATTCAAAAGTAATAGTCACTAGTCTAAAAGATGTCAAGATCTAGGTGTTGTTATTCCCATTTTCACATATGGAAAAAAGGCTCAGAGAGGTTAGGGGACTTGCTCAAGGTCACACAGCCAGCAGATTTTGGGGTCAGGAGTTCAACTCAGCTCTCACTGACTCCAGAGCTCATCTTTCATAACACCCATCCAACCACCAATGAGGGGAGATGGGAACCAGGGGGACAGGCTTTTTTCTTTTAACTTCCTCTTTCTTTCTACCTGACACTTCTCAGCAGGCCCCACCAGAAGGAGCAGGATTCAGGTGTTCTCTCATCTCTACATTCTGGAAGTTGAAGCATCAGCCTCACCTGGGAGCTTGTTAGAATGCAGAATCCCAGGCCCCACCCAGACCTAGTGAAGTAGAACTTGAGTTTTAACAAGAGCTCTGGTGATGTATGTGCATGCTGCAGTTCAGGAAGCCTTCTCCTTCTCCCCAGCTCCAGCCTCACGGCTAAGCCTTCATGGCAGGTGAGGTGATGGAGAGAAGAGACCTAAATTAGGAGATAACTCATAATGCTTCCTGAGTTGCACCAGCTTTTTAAAACTTGTCTCTAAGCCCTAACAAAATTGTAGAATGGAATATTAAACATATTTGTAAACCTGGAGAAACTATTTGGTGGTTCACATTTGGAAGCCATTGAGTTCACTTTGAGAAAAAAAAAAATCAATCCAAATTGATCACATGTTCTTTTTATGAAAAGAAATTAGAAGTTTATTACAGCAAAGTGATTGCAAAGAACCTTATGAGATAATATGATGGTGGGATATTGCTGAGCCAATAGTTGAATTGATTCAAGACTTGATAAGTGATTGTATAAGTGATCGTAAGGGTCTCCCTGTCACCCAGGCCAGGTGACATCAATATTGCAGCACCTCAGGCTCTGTCTCCAGCCTTGTCCTGGTCAGAGTGGTTATTAGTGACTTTGAAGGCATGAGGACCATTCCACTGGAATTTATTCTGAGGAGTGTAATACAGCTGCAGTTCATGGGAGATGGACTATTCTTCCATTTATATAGCACTTGTAAAGATGAAGAAACAGAACTTCTGTTATTCTAGGTGATCTGCTGGAGTTTTTATTTGTATTTAAAATTTGAAACAGTGAAACAGTGAGAACTGCAAAGTAGTTTTTGTTTGGTAGGCGAAAACTTCAGAGTATCCATGAAATATGAATATACGAATACATACAAATGAATAAAAATATGAGGATATTATACTAGAATATTTGCGAAATATCAATTTGGGTGTGAAATATTAGAGCAATCCCAGTGTGGGGTGGTTCTCTTATAGGCACCCCTGGAATAGACAGGTGTAGAGTAACATGGGGACTCTACTTCAAGTTAAAAAATTTAGTGTCAGGAGGGAATTTTCGGAGGTGAAGCATGTGTTCACTGTCTTGATTGTGATGATTGTTTTGTGTGTTGGTGCACATGTCAGATCTATCAAAGAGCACATTTTAAACATGTGCAGTTTATTGTATGTCAGTTATGCCTCTGTAAAGCTGTTTGGAAAATGCAATGCCATATGGACAAACAGAGGGAAACTGACTTGGCTGCAGTACCTTTGAGAAAGCTTGGGAGACTCTTAGTGACTATATTTGTAATTTTACCTTAAACTAGTAAGAGTTTTTTGCTAAAGAGACTAATTGCAGCACAATGTTGAGATTCAGGAAGTGTAAATAGCGCCCCATCTGGATACTAAACTCTGTCTGGGCACCATCATTGTAATGATTTGCCACCCAGGGTCTCACCTTTGAGTGGCCAAGAGATTAGATTTGGAGGCTTCCTGGGATCCAATTTACTTGAGTTCTTTAGCAATCCAGTCCTGCTGATGAACTTCAAATTCCTGCAGAGAATGCAATTCTGACTTGAGACAGATGCAAGAAATTCATAGCTCTCATCTACAGGGGTTTGGAGATTTTACTAAATGGTTAGGGTCCCATGTGAGCCCCATGTGCTCTGTTCTTCTGGGGCACTCATGACAAATAACCTTCTTAGGCAGAGCACTGCCTCCGTGGCATGGTTATCATGGGCTGTGGATTCTGTGCAATTCTAAGTATGCTGGTGTAATTCTACTCCTCCTCTTTCACCAGGAAAGCTTAAGGGAACACAATGGTAAGAGTAAGGAAGACATTATCTCGGGCATAACCTTGAATCTGCTTAACATAAAATAAGCATTGACCTTTCATGCCCTTGAGGACTTTACAATTATTAACCAATTATTACCACCTTTCGGGGAATGGGGACATAGTAGTGTGTTGTCTGCCAGCCAGAGGCTGAAAACTGTCTGGACTCTGGGAAGCCCAGGACTTAGCTTAGAGCAGTAGTCCATGCAGTGCCCTCAGCTGGCTCTGCACCTATCTTTCCCTCTCTTGATGCCACACTGGGACCAATAGGCCTGATCTTTGGGCTGGCCCTTGAGCCTGACCCCTAACACTGGCTGCTGGACCTTGCTTGATTGCCTGCTACACCCACCTGCCCTTGGCTGCAGGGACCTGCTGTGGGCACGTCGGAGGCCACCAGAATGTTGTGAGAATCCCAGAAGCCATGCTGTACAAGTTGCTGCTGAAGAAGCTGTGAGGGTTTAACTTAGAGAAGGGAAATGAAAGGGAAACACAGCAGTGGTCTTCAAGTTCTTGAAAAACTGACCTGACCAGGACTGCTCCATTGAGTAAGGATCCAGGGGGCCAAACTGGGGTATAGGAGTATGTTTTCTGGGGAGGCAAATTCAAGCTCAACACAAGGAAGAAGTTTGCAGCAACTGACAGGCCAACTGCGGACTAACTGTTCTTAGAAGCAGTGAACTCCTTTTCACCATGGGAATTAGGAAATTCATGGTCGGGGACGGAAGCAAGGGATTTCTGTACTTGGATGTACTATTAAAGTTTCTTCCTCCAGGCTCTAGAATTCTGCAATTGTAAAAGCACCTATTTTCTTATACTTTTGAGATTCCTGTTCAGACTGTCAACTCCAACCTGAGTTTTACATAACCACTTCCTCTCAGGGAGCTCAGCGCTTCCCTGCACATCACTGAACTCGTTTTCCTCATTTCTTTGCTTCTGTGGCTGGGATTTCTCTTCCCCACATTGCAGGAGCATGCAGTTGGCCCCCGAGATAGTGTGCATCACACAGATTTCCCTCACCCTGGGTGTCCAGCTATGTCTTGAAATATGTTTCCTGTATAGCCTTTGCTCTTTTCTGTTTGAATGATGAGTTTAACATGGGGGACGCAAAGGTCTCTAATGGGAACACGGGGTGGTTGGAAGCACAGGGTCAGGAGCCTCATCTTCCTGCATCTCTCTCCCTCACCCATCGAATGAGCATGCATTATTCCTTCTCATCACTTCCACCCTCTCTCTGAGCTGGGAGAATACATGAGATGAGATCTGTGACATCACTAACCTTGTTATTCTCACTGTTGCAAAACACACAGAACTGTGACAGATCAATACGTGGACCTGATTTTGTGTACAATACTATCATATTCCTTGTCCTGTTATAGTGCAGATTAGTTATAGTTTGTTATTCTTTTGGGAAGGGGACATTACATGTCAACAATGAGAAGGACACATCACACAAACACCCCCTCCCATGACATAGTGCCAATGACTTGTGGCTTTTGGCATGGGGACCATGAGGAATTTTGACCCATTTCTTTGACATAGAACCTTCAAGTGTCGACTTCAGTGTGTTCCAGGAATCATCATGCTGCATGGTGACTGCAAGTTTCTCTGGTGACCTGTGGTATTCCCAGTGCCTAACACACACAGGGCATGGATTTACATTTGTTGAATTGAATTGAAGGACTTTTGTGCTCAGGGCAATAGTTTCTCCCACATCAGGGTCACTTAAAAATATCTGCTAAAGGACTAGTTATAACAGGAAGGGACCTTTAGAAACCCAAGCCCCTCATTTTGACAAGTGGTATCTGAAGCTTAGAAAGACAAGGATAGGCTCCCGGAGCCAGTATCAGCTTTCAGACCTCCCAACAGCTGGTGTGGTGTCCTTCCCACTGTGTCCCCAGTCATGTGTCATCTCCCGCCATTTCCAGCCTCGTGAACTTTGTGTGCCACACCTGCTTCAAGAGGCAGGAGAAGCTCCACCGCTGTGGGCAATGCAAGTTTGCCCATTACTGTGACCGCACCTGCCAGAAGGATGCTTGGCTGAACCACAAGAATGAGTGTTCAGCCATCAAGAGATTTGGGAAAGTGCCGAACGAGAACATCAGGTCAGAGCTGGGTTGCAGGGGGGGACGTGGGATTCCCAAGTGTCGCCCTGGATATGGTGGCAGCGACAGCATTCCTAGGTCTAAGGAAGCCAGACTAAGTTCAAATCAGGAAGGAGCCTCAAAGAGGCTTCTGTTCCCTCCCTTCAGGTCTAAGAGGGAGAAGTGGGTGTTATACCCGATTCCAGACTGCAGCCACTGTGGGAGCTGGCCTGCATACTCCTTCTGCATGACCCTCTAGTGTTTAGTTTTTTAAAAATTGATCTTGAGCCAGCCCGTGGCTCACTTGGGAGAGTGTGATGCTGGTAACACCAAGGCCATGGGTTCAGATCCCTATATAGGGATGGCCGGTTAGCTCACTTGGTGAGCGTGGTGCTGACAACAACAAGTCAAGGGTTAAGATCTCCTTACTGGTCATCTTAAAAAAAAAAAAAAATCGAACTGTCAGTGTTTAAAAGTTTGGAAATTTCACATTTCAAAAAATTAGGATTTCTGGCTTCTCTTGAAATAAGAAAACAAAAAATAAAAACTGAAGATCTGGCAAAATAGGCTGGAATTCAATAGCATCTGTTTTAAAAAATACAGAGCACCAAGGTCACAGGTTTGGATCCCTGCACTAGCCAGCCACCAACAAAACAAAGCCACCCAAAAAACCCCCAGACCTTTCCAAGTCACTGCAGCCCAACTACTCCCTGTGGTCATACACATTACACCCGAAAGGGCATTTGAGTTTACAGCTAATGGCCTTTCCTGATGGCCATTGCCAGAAATCTCAGGCCAATACCTCGGGAGCCCCAGCTCAAGAGCTTCCAAGTCCTGGAGGTCCCTCTGGGCTAGGCCTGGCCTGGGCTGCAGGGCGGTGCTTAGGCAGCCGGCAGTGGAGGGCAAAGGAGACGCGGCTGGTGATCGGGAGCATTCTCACTCTCCCTGCAGCGTGTGAAGATAAAACATAGAATGAAATGATCATATCCTGACAATTTTTAGGCAACTGCAGGGTGAAATGGCTCAGTCAGCTTCCTCATCCTCTTTAGTTGAAATCCTACATATTCTTCGAGACCCAAAGTAAATGTCACCTCCTGTGATGGGAGCTTAGTTCCTCCATCTGCACAGTTCCAGTTAGCAGTTTCTTCTGATACTGAGTTGAAATCTCTCACTCACTGTCCTCTATTCTCTGAGCTTCATGACCATTTCCCCAATATTTGAAGGCAGCAGCTCTTCCTCAGACCACCTCCCGAGTCTCATTTTCCCCAGTGCTGTCCTGGGTTCCACATGGGGACACTTCAGTTCCCAGCACCCAGGGTCTCCAGCAGGGCATCTGTCTAGAAATAACTCTATGACCCTAATGAGAGGAGAAGAGGGTCTGTGCTTTGCCAAGGGGGGGTCTCTCCTAAGGGGCAGAGTCTGCTCTGTGTCACCAGCCTCTCCCAGGCACCTGGACAGCATGAAGTCAGAGGGTGGCAGAGAGATACCAAAGTGTCCCTGGGTCACAGGTTTCATTTTGTTGGGACAGGCTGCCTAATGGTTAACAAGGAGGCCCTCCAGGTGAAGTACGCCCCCTGTCTCACACGCAAAGCCCTGTGCTCTGGGGCCCCTCCTCCCCCACAGCCCTCAGTGCCAGCCAGGCCAGGTCCCTTCCTGCTCCCTGTGTGTGCTGTGCCCATGGCTGCCCTTGGGCCTCTGCTTACACTGTTTCACCACCTAGATTGCCTTCTTCACTTTCTCTCTCCCCAGCCATTAAGAACTTGAATAAGCTCACACACGATGTGAGCATCCTGACCTCACTTTGTCATCCGAACACCCCTGGAGGTTAGCATAGCAGGGAATCTTATCCCTATTTTACTGGCCACTGGATAGGCTCAGGGAGGTCAAATGACTTGCCCAGGCTCACACAGTATGAAGTGGAAGTGGTCACACCCAGCTCATTGGACTCCTTACCCAGTGCTCATCCTAGTGAGCCATACGGTCAGGAGAGACTCAACTGCCACCCGTCTTTGTGTCCCCAGACCCCATGTGACCCAGCTGCTGCCCAGCTCTCCACTGCTGGCTCCCTGTGCTCCAGCCACCTTGGCATCTTGCTGCTCTGCCTTCGTGCCAAGCTCACTCCTGCTTCGGGGCCTTTGTGCTCGCTGCTCTTCCCTTCCGAAGCCTGCTTTCCCCAGCCTCACTGAGCAGCTCCTTCTGTCCAGCCCCATCCCAGCTCAAACGTGCCTCGTCCGTGACACCTCCCCAGTACCTCCGCTTCCTTCCCCCGGCCACTCTCCATCATGTCACCCTATTTTATTTTCTGCATAGAACTGACCACTACTTAAAATGGTCTTGTTTCCTTACTTCTCCCCTGCTGCGAGGAGCTTCATTATAGAAGAAATTTCATATTTCTAGTTCAAAACTGTATCTTGGGCCACACACTGTGCCTGCCATGCACTAAGCACCCTGTGAGTGTTTGTGGAATGAATGAATGAATGAATGAACGAGTGCAGCGGTGGCCTCCCTAACGCCGTCCCTCTTCATAGGCTGGCGGCGCGCATCATGTGGCGGGTGGAGAGAGAGGGCACCGGGCTCACGGAGGGCTGCCTGGTCTCTGTGGACGACTTGCAGAACCACGTGGAGCACTTTGGGGAGGAGGAGCGGAAGGAGCTGCGGGTGGACGTGGACACGTTCTTGCAGTACTGGCCTCCCCAGAGCCAGCAGTTCAGCATGCAGTATATCTCGCACATCTTTGGAGTGGTATGGTCCCCAGAAGGCCCCCCTCCCATGCCCCTTCCTCTCAGCCTTTCTGTCTTCCTCCTCCTTTCTTCCCTCTTCCCCTTTGGGAGGGTGGGGTTTCTCAGAGGTGAACAGCTCCGAGGAGGAAGCCCCATCTGCCCAGGGCAGTGACTTCTATTTCCATAAAGATCACATCCAGCCCAGGCAACCAGAGACTCTGGTGAAGTCTGCCAGCTATTTACCAGATGTAGAAGGAACACCTACTGCCCCTTCCATTTCTGAGCCCAAGGACAGGCCCCTAAGTGACCTAACTTAAAAAGATTCTAGAGTATGATTCTTCAGAAAGGAGGGACCATCGTGACAGCTGGGATTGTCCAACAAAGACATTTCCAGAAGCTGCCAGGCCAGAATTGGGAGGTGAGGCCAATAGAAGGACTGAAGGGAGTCGGAAGCTTTAATGAAGACCTCTCATCCTGTACTGTTTTCTGGCTTTGCATACTTACTACGGGGTCATTCCTGCCCCATCTGAAGTTGGCATCCCGCATATAAACTTTATTTATTTACTATCTCTGAATGGTAGATTTGGATGGTAATTAATCTTCTTGATTATTTGCACTTCCTAAATTTTCTCCTCTCCTCATTGAAAACAAAGACCTGATCACCAACCCTTCCTGTCCACCAGTCACTTTGGAAATAAGATTGTTCCTTTCTCCAGGTCTGCCGGGCAGGATTGACGGGAGCCTGGGGGATCAGGAAGCTCAGGCTATGGGCTAAGGAGGAAGATGTCTTCCATTTGGCAGGCCAGGCCCCTTGGGTGATGGTGGTGAGCCGGCTGAGGAGGGAGGTTATTGTAATAACAGCAATAGCACGATCACATTCAACATCTCTTCAGTCCTCACCATGGGGAGAGAGAGAGAGAGAGAGAGAGAGAGAGAGAGAGAGAGAGAGAGAGAGAGAGATTATATTTATTTTTATGAAGAGAAAGAGAGAGAGAGAGAGATTATATTTATTTTTATGCATTTTTCATACCCCAAGAGCAGATATTTGGAATCTATTTCTGTAAAGAACAACTTATTTTTAAGGAAGAGAAAGTCAATTGAATGCCACATCGGTAATAACCAACTTGATTTGCATTGCATTTCAGAGATAAGTGTTACATATGGCAGTCATCAGATTTTAAAATTGTGAAAAGAGAATATAAAACTATCCACAGACACAAAATAATCTAAAAGAGATGTCAATTTTATTTTATGAGCAGCAACAGGAGTTGAGGGTGGGTAGGCACAGGACGCAGGGGAGAGACAAGGAGACACACACACACACGGGCAAAGCAGGGCATGAAGAGAAAAACCAAGACAGGTAATGAGGAAGAGTCATATGAGACTCATATGGAAAAGGGGAGAGACTTCTCAGAACCATCTCTCTTTGGCCTTTTTAGAATATAGGCACCCAAGACTTTCAAGGTAGTGATGCACTTTTCAAA